AAATACTGACAAAAACATCGGATATTATTACAACGTATAAGCTTTTCATTTCAATTATTTCGTTCACGTTCGTACATTGAACTGTTTTATTTGTAGTATTCCAGCTAATATTTAATTTAGAGTTGTTATTGTTAAGACATGCGGCATAGTGGCATAGCGGCACGGAAGGCGAGCGAACACCCGCGGGGCGTGTTCCGAATTAATCCAATCCACGAAATAGGTATTACAGAAAGCTAATGGGGCAAAGTTTCCATGTAAGCCAATTGTATGCCGTTAATCTAATCGGTGCCGTGTACAACGATATTTTGATATCGGCCCGACGGCAATTGCCAAATGAAAAATGCGCGGATTTCCTGACTGCCTTATAATCGCCTTGTAATCCATCAAACGTAACGATGCTGAGCGATTTGCTTAAGAAACGCTTTCAGTTAACGTCCTATTACGTATTGTCATGTTACACGCTTGATGTATTAACGGGAAATTCTCGATACCTCCTATTGATTTTTTTTTTCATTAAAATTCCACGCGGCAACAACTCAATGATAAACCGATTTCGACTGTCGACAAACGTATCCTTTGTCATTTTAGTACAAGCTACGTTTTTTTTAACTTTAATACAAAGATGAAAACACACTATACAATTTAGAGGTAGAAGTAAGAGCGATTGGTTGTAGATTTGCTAATACAATAAAGAATGTTTTGACCTTTTTATTGCATTTGAAAACTTCTGTCACGATTTATTCAGGATAAAATGTTTAAAAAAAATATAAATGTTACATATATTTATATAATGTTTTAATAATTTTACTTATCAAAATAACATTCGTACAATACAGGTTGTTGGTTTAACTATCCTTGACCAAAATAATTTTGTTTGATAAAATCTTTTAAACGCTAGTAAGCTTATTATAACTTCGTTCCTCGTAGCTCCAGCTGTGAGGTTCCACGTCACCGCTCCCCCTGCCTGCCCCGCGGACACCCCCCACCTGCCTGATGTGACCGTGAGCTCATGCGATAAAACAATTACCCCAATCAAGTCCAGTTTGCCATACATAAATTCACAAACAGAAAGACCCAATAATTCATTACGCATTTGACGCAAAAATAAAAACGAAAAAATGAAAAAGTCAACCATATTTCTACTCTGAACCGCAATAAATTATATTAACAAGGAAAAGAATTAACACGTTCCGATATGAACAATAAAATTTAACATAATCCAACAATACGAAACGCATATAGAGCACGCTAAATATCGTAACTGGATAATCTAAGTACACGGTATTAATTACGCTGATTACATAGTAAAGAAAAAAATAAACAAATTAAAACAATAGGTCGTAATATTATCAGATCAATTGGCTAGTTGTCGTGTTACTGCGCCGGATCGCGTGACGGGTTAGGCTCACTAGAATCTTGATATGCCTCGGCCCCAACTAATTATAGCCTTACTAGCCAACCTCAAACAAAATCCTAGGCAGCGTTTTCTCTTGTGTGAAAATATGAACTAAACTTGCCGTTTACGTATAACAGTTTTACGGCTAAAAGATTCTAGATTAGCGTAGCGCGACTTGCAAACCACAATCTTGTACTGACGTCATACATCTACATAATGTCAGGTTACATTTTCAAATGTTACTTAATTTATACTACATACCTTTACCTTACCGAGAGCGTCGGTGGCTCAGGGGACAAGCACTTGACTTGCAATCTGCAGGTCCTGGTTTCGAATCCCGCCATATATCAATGTGTTTTTTTCATTCAGATTTACATATTTACAATTATCCGCCGTTCTTACGGTGAAGCAAAACATCGTGATGCAACCTGCACATATCTGAGAAGTAATTGAAAGATTGCGTGAAGTTAACCAACCCTCACTTGGCGAGCATGGTTGACTATGGCCTAATCACCTTTAACTTAGAATAGGCTCCGAGCCCCTCGGTGGGGACGTATAGTGAGCTGATGATGACGATATATATACTTAAAAAAGGTAAAATGTATCTCATGTGTTACTCAAAACTATAGGCTAGATCTGTAACCAAATTTCAATAAATCATGTTACAGATCAATCGAGTAATGTGATTTGTATGTGTGCTACGGGAACCGTACAAATTTCCGTGATCATAGGTAGCCTATGTGTTCTTCTGGACAGTGTTCTAAATCTATACGAAATTACATCAAGATTTTAATAAACGTCCATCCATCCATGCAACTTTATATTTGTAGTAATTAAGATAAGATTTTATAATAATTACTTATAGATATGCGATTGATCAATTCTATAACAGCTGAAGTTTCTTTTTAATATTGATAAAGATTGTTTTACACTTATAATAAAAAAAAACTAATAATTTTTTGTCATAGTGTTATTATTTTTACCAACAGAAGATTGAACTATCTAAAATGCATCGCAACTGAATATTTGATTCGCTAGATGTCACAATAGACGACAGCGCAACCGCGGCACCTCGCCTTAAATATGTAGACATCTTAGCGAATACCTCATCCCGAGAATTCTTGCTATTCTACACAGACGCTGAATAACGAAATAATATTTTTTATGTCTAGAAATTTAAATTACTAAATAATAATGGCTAGAAAGCAACGATACGATACTAAAAGCTTAACTGAGGTAATTTTAATAAATAGTTGAACAAAAGGTAAAAACTACATGAAATTAAGTCTGTCTAGCTTTTTTAAATTTCTTCTAGTATTAAGAGTTCAACAGCATTTTATTGTATCGATTAAACGAAATTTCCATTCACATTCTGTTTCAAAGAATAAATTTCTTAAATTAATACGAGTACGTGTTTATTTGTGGAATACAAATGATCCTTACTCTTTGTAAAGATTCAATACGCTTTAGTTGTTTCACTATATGAAAAAAACAACAAAATTAATGCATAATCTTTGATAGTGAAGACATATAATTCTTATGTAAACCGTCATTACATTAAATACTTGAATTCTATATATGAAATTTGATATATTTAGTGACAAATCAAAACTGTAAAACGATTTAATAATAAAAGTTTTAACTCTGCTCAATTCCATAGCAGTTTACGAGACGTAGCTCGACGCTTGCCTTGCATAGAGTAACAGACAGTGACGTCTGACTTCGTGAAAAATGCATTCTATATAGACGTGAGACTCTATGCAAATAGAGAACACATTGAAAAGTCTTTCGCGCGAACTCCGGCCTGCTATGTCATGCAAGACGTTTGCCCTCTAAAACTTGGTGGTACACAAACATCATAAAGGGGACCATTCACTAGAGTGCAGCGAAGTTCACAAACACAGAAAAGAAATGAGATTAAGGATTATTTACGTGTGATCTTTTTGTTTTATATTACATAAAGAAGTTTGATGTTCTTAGACATTTCATAAAAATTACACTGAGCTGTAAATTATATAAGTTGACTAGCTGTCGCCCGCGACTCCGTCCTCACGGGATTAAAAATAGATGTCTGCTGATTCTCAGACCTACTCAATATGCTCACAAAATTTCATGAGAATTGGTCAAGCTGTTTCTGAGAAGTATGGGAACGAAAATTGTGACACGAGAATTGTATATATAAGATTAATGGGTACCGCAAATTACATGCAAGTTTATTTTATAACTAGATGTTTATGTTAGTAAAACAAAGACTAATAGTGGGTTTCTATGATTAAAAAAACCTGTTAAAATTATATTGTTATTTCTACTTTGTGAGAGATAATGAGAGAAATGATGATATGTTTCAAACACAGATTCTGGTCTCAGTAACCAACGATAAAACGTCTATATTTTTTTAAATAACATACATAAAAGAAGTCTATACGAGTACGTCACGTCTCTAACAATATGTTTAGCAGTCAGTTGTTTCGACATCGGTTTTGAAGTTAGTGGTTATAAAACTAGTCGTCGGTTTTGTGCGTGACTCAATCCCGAAAGTTACCCTTCCTGACTACAGACACCCGAAACGGTGGTACACGCGATTCTATACGTGAACACTTAGTAAATCTAAGTATATTAAATACTAGCTCTAGTTATAGATAATTATTTAGAAAATAATTAGCTGTCACCCGGTACTCCGCCTGCGCGAAATTAAAAGAAATATTAGTAGCCTATGTGTTCTTCCAGACTATGTTATAAATCTATGCCAAACATCGAGATTCGTTGATGTGAATCGCAAATACCTTCTAACAAACATCCATCCATTCAATCATTCGCATTTACAATATTAGTAAGATAAGTCATATTCCATAGAAGTTTTAGATTCGACAATCAAGTCAGTTTATTTGACTTCAACTTATTTATTAAATGTTATCTACACTCACTCGCATAATATCGTAATAATGCATTTATAACTTAAAATAAATTAAATAAAATGCCAGAATAGCTCCGATATTAAGTTCAGTACAACTATAGAAAACTCTTTGATATCTATTCTCAAATCTTTGTTCGCCAGCCTGTATCGTATCTGAGAGTCGGCGACCCCTTTTCAACGGCCCTTTGATCTGTGTCATGCTTACGAAAAATCTCCTTTATCCCATGTCAATATGTACAATTTATTAGTGAAAATATTTCACAATCGACTTACGTTTAATCCTGATTGACTCGTCGATACTGAGATCCCCTTATCATATAACAAAAAGTAAATAACATTCAATATTTATAATATCGATATTTACAAAAATATTTGACGACTCGATTCTAGCTTTGGGGTTAGACAATGTAATATTTGATGGCCTCTATCGGCCGCTAATAGAATGTTCAAAATGTATAGGAAAAATACGTAACATGCACTTAACATATCGAAAGTTCTTGTCACTTACATACATTTTTGAAGTTGATTATGGAATCGTTTCGGAGCGAATGTACTTTATCTAGGGGTGCTTATTTTGGACAAGAATGTTTATAAAAAGTACTTTGACGATAATATACTTTTTAATTGCGTATATGAAAGTAATCTTGCGATTCAAATACGGAGGTTTTAATTTCTTCTCCTTTGTTACAGATCATGTTCGTGAATTTACATGCGGACCTCTTTACTACAGAACCTTCTTTATGGACTCCAAACGAGATGCACTTTATGTCGGCGCTATGTAAGTTCTATACATTATCTTATTATTTTAAAACTAGTTATTGCCCGCGACTTTGTTTACGCAGAATTAAAAAAAAGTGAGAAGTATCTAACTCATACTACGAGACTATATTCTACATCTGCGCTAAATTTTATTAAGATTTGTTGAACCGTTGCAGAGTTATCAAGGAAATATGTAAATAAAACGGAGAAACCGTACACATTTCTTGGATCTTAGATAGATTATTTCATCGACATCTATGCAGCTGTTTCGGAGATAGCTTCTAAGAAACATCCATCCGTACAATATATAAACATATTAAACGAAAATAAATATATTAACAAAATTAGAATTATATTTATTTTGACAAGAATTTATAGTCAACACACACAATTTACCTTTACTGATATTCATTGAGGTCTTATTTAAAGAAATAAATTTATATTAGAGTATGAGTCAGGCATCGCATTTTCAAACAGTAGGGCGACCACATTTCGAGCAATAAAACGATCAAGCATAAACATTTCATTACAATATCCACGCGACATTGTTACACGCCCATACTTTATCATAAAATAAACTTCCCAGTGAATTACTCTACCATTTTTTTGTTCACTAGTGGTCGCCTGCAATTCCGTCCGCGCGGAATTAAAAAAAACATAATTAGTAGTAGTGTTCTTCCAGACTTTGTTCTATATGTATGCCAAATTTCATCCAGATCCGCTCAGCCGTTCTGAAGATATCTTCAAACAAACACCAATCCTTCCGTCAAAACATTCGCATTTTAAAATATTAGTAAGATTATAATTGCAAGTACTTCAAGATTGGTATTAACATATCTTATTTTCCAGGGACCGATTGTTTCGTCTGAATATGAACAATATTAGTTCGTCACATTGTGATGTAAGTATAATTCATAATACTGTATTTATTGTTAAGAAATCAAGTGAACCGAACAGTTGTACAAAATGAATACCAAATGAACTACGAGATTGTGACTACAAGATTGTCAATTTTCTTTTGGATGTTCGCAATTAAAGTTCAATAAGTTCATTCATTCATTCATTCATTCATAAATATTCATTCTTTCATTCAGTAATTTATAATAAAATATGTGATATAATAAAATTCATATTTTTAAGAGATATCAATTATTTTAACATAATTTATATTTTTACAGAGGGATTCTATTAATTTGGAGCCCAGCAACGTCGCTCAATGCGTGTCTAAAGGAAAATCAGAGGTGAGTTTAACAAAATAACTCACGCTTGTAATCCAGAGGGGTAGGCAAATACCACATACCACCATTTGGCGCGGTCCTTACACACCTCTCTCGCTTTTCTACATTCATACATCTACGCATACACACACGTCATTTCATCAATCTGAACAGTATAAGTCCATCTGGGTCGGCCCCGACCAGTTTAGTCCCGAAGCTAAATTTAATTTTATTAAAATTCAGTTCTCAGAAATAAAATAATTAAAGGTTTTTGATATGTAATTACAGATTGTTAATTGAATTTTTAAATAATACTGCTGAAGTTTAGAATTAAATTAATTACATGTAAACAAAATTACTAAAACACCTGAGATTTACACTAATAATTCAAATTAATTATAAATTATTTAATAAAGATAAGCGTGGAAAATAATTTAAATGAGTGGCGTTTCACAATTAAATAATCTAATAAAAGTTTAATGTAAATAACTTATCATAAATCAGACCTCAAAATAAATCATATATAGATTAATAACAAAAGCAATATGCGTAATTACGCCATTAAAAGGCCATAAAACGGTGTCATGACGCAATAAATCATACGCACCACACAGCGTACAAGACTTACCGCCCGTGCAGAATTGCATGCAACTAGCACTATTTCCATCAAGGGTTAATCCCATTTTTGAACGGCGGGAAGCATATTTCATAGCGGGAACCTCTAAGCCATGCTTCACTCTATATTAAGGCCGTTAATTTTGATTTACAGTCCCGCCGTAAAAGCAATATTTGTTTTATTTCCCGGTTACACTCCGTCTCGTGAGATCGGTACGATTATTGCATTGCCTTCTATTCCTCTATCCGCTAATTCGATATTAGTTGCGGACCTTCCGATTCTATCCTTGAGTGCTTTCTTATTATTTATTGCGGGATTCTATTTCTTTGTGACACAAACGATGTTAGCTTTATCTTTTGTATTTGAAATAGCAAATATAATTCCTTCTTTTAACTTAAAATAACCTTTTAACATGATATCAGTGAGTCAATTGTCTATTATTTCCTATTACCTGCACATATATGTGAACAAATTCAAAGATATGTTTGAAGTCAACCAACTCGCCTCTTTGGGCCAGCGTGATTTGACTATGGCCTAGTCATCCTTGACTTAGGGAAGGCTCCCTGCTCCTCAGTGGGGATGTATAGTAAGCTGATGATGATGAGTAAGTCAATTCGAATGTCAACATATTAATTTTGACTATACTAAAGCTATCGGTATAATAAAAGGAGTAAACAAATTACATTTTCTGTCGTTTACAGTACAGTCGCATATAATAAGAAAGACATAAGCCTTCCAACTCGAAATGAAATATCTCGTGCAAAGTGTACGTAACCTCTTTGAGTAAGCAGTAAAAACATCTTTGATAGTCAACGAGGTGGCCACATAAAAGGCAAAAGCTATACTCAAGCAATTTCACAATTTAACCTCAACAAATATACATCTTGGTAACATCGTAATAAACCACGTATAAATAGGTCAAACTTACGCAATAGCGGGCAATGGAAAACAATATACCACATGATACCCACAAGAACTCTTCCAATGTTAAAAAAAGTAAATTTGTTTTATTAGCAAGAAGAAAAAGCCATAAAAAAGAAATATATCCGACTCTATCACCTCGATCGTAGAAAGAACGGCCACTCGTGAAAGCTATAATCAAAGTTTTCTCACTGTCGGCGAGATTCCTTTCTCTAAACATGATGTCGTTACACGAAAAAGGCTGGGAAACGCCGTCGGCGAAATTCCGAAAGACCGCCACGGTCTCGGCGTTCGCCTTGTTGTTTTAAGCTCACAGCTCTTTGTGACGCTATTAAGGAAAAAATCTGTAGGTAAATCACACAACTTTAGATTTTAAGGACCACTAAAATAGTCGATTCGATCTAGAAATTTACCACATAACCGAGCACTTTTTATCGTATATTCAAACAGAATAGAGCTCTTTGTGAAAAAGGTATTCTTGATAAAGAGGATTACTTTAGCACTTTGATGTTTTAACTGTATAATTTAATTGTAAAACATTAGAAATATATTGTAATGTTAACATAAAGATGTAAATTAACGCTCTTAAATACGTAATAAGTGCCATTAAGGTAGAATACATCTGAGTGCCGGACAAAAGTGTCGCGGTGGCAAAGAAGGCGAGAAAAGAAAATCCGATCGTAAATCTACTTACGTAAAGTGGCGAATAATTAACGAAATGGACCAATCGAAAGCATTAGTTCCAAGTGAAGTTATGCGAGCGCTCTCGGCTAAGTGCCGTTAAAAGAAACTTAGACGTGAGCTTGATTGTTCTTCTGTTTAATTCTGATTGTTTCTGAACAAAACAGTTCACGTCTACGCGATCGCCGAACGTTCCGAGTATATTAATCCGTTAATTACTTTAGAACAATCTCTCGCAAAGTTACCGCTGCGAGCTCGAATCAAAGAAACTGTGTCAGAACTTTTTATAAAGAAACAAAGAACCTTTTTCTTGTAATCATACTTTACCCGTATAGACTTAATGGAAATTGTTTCATTTTCCCAACTGTATTACTTATAAATTATTTTACGTTAAAATTTGCCAAACATTATCTTACTAATATTATAAATGCGAATGTTAATATGGATGTTTGTTTGAAGGTCTCTCCGGAATAGCTCTGTGGATTTTGATGAAATTTGGCAGCGATGTAGAACACAGTCTCAAAAAACACACTCATTAACTTATTTTTAATTTCGCTCGGACAATGTCGAGGGCGACAGTTAGTTATCCCACAAAATGAAACATAACACAAATTGTAATAAAACAAGTGAAGATAGTTTAAACATATTTATATAATTGAATTTAAACAACTACAATTAAAAACGATTCATAAAAATCCAACCTCAAAATTGATTCAATTTAACGTACCCGTTTCCATTTAACAACATACTCGACAAAGCGGTTTTCTTTCCTCGTTGTATATTTTGTCCATTTCAAAATCTGACAGAGTATCAGTACAATGGCGGTGCGCCGGCTTTCGTCGTGACGGAGAGAAAATTAGTTTCAATCTACCGGCCGACCGCAGCCGCCGAGCGCCAATCTGTAAACACAGTATATATTCCGCCCGGGACTTTGAAAATATCGCTTACAATGTCCTTTTGTACCTTCTATTTCGTATCTCACAATGTCATAGTAGCTACGATTCTCAAAATTCATATAACAGAACTATATTATATATAATAATTGATATATATAACATCTTCGAATGGAAAAAGTTTATATACACGACTAAAACTCTCACTGCATTACAATAATTACAGACATTCTTTAGTTAAACACCTGTCTTAACCCTTTGACCGTCGTTAGTTTATAGTGTTTTTTTTATGGTTAGGCTCTTAATGTTCTTTGAATCGAGCTAACATTTCATCTGTTGTATATGTTGATATATGTTCTCGTTATAGACAACAGAGGAATTAAGTAGTAAATTTCAAAGCCAAAATCTCAGACAATCCCGAAAATTCGCCAGACGTCCAATAACCAACCTCAAACAATGGAAAAGTCATTACCATTTCATCGAACTATCGAACTTTTAATTGCACAATTATGTTCACACGTGCGTAAAGTTGCCGTCGAAAACCAATTCAGACATATTTGTGAAAGATGCAACGCTAATGAACTGATACAAAGTTGAGGCCTTTCATTTTGGCGAAAGCTTTATTCACTAAAACGGACATCGCGTATTCCTGTCGTTCGGAATATTAATGTCCCGTTCAATATTTATGTTGGACGCAAATTTGCATAATCACAGCCTGTGGACACGTACACACTCAACATTTTCCCTCTCTTTCCCTCTTTAACATATGCCAATAAAATTTGCGCGAGCGAGCCATTGCACATTCGATTTCTTCATTGCCCGTTCGTTTATTTCACAATAAGTATTAAGTGTACATTAACATTTTACACGCACGTATTGTTTTGTTTTAAAATATTTATGAAAGACCTTTTTGGAACAATTTGTACCGATTAAAAACAAATATTATCTTTTGCATTATTACCTTGCAGATTGTTTTTTCGATTCAATAAAGCTTATTTATTAGCGCTCAATTTAACTTTGTTGTCTATGACCCTGAATAGATGTAAATAATATTTTTTCCACATACATTTTTATATACAATTTTTATGTATTTCTACATTGTTTAACAATATGTTAATAAAAATAATTTCCACAGCACTTCGATTGCCGTAACCACGTGCGCGTGATTCAGCCGATGGGCGACGGCTCGCGGCTCTACGTGTGCGGCACCAACGCCCACAGCCCCAAAGACTGGGTCTTATACGTAAGTATTATTTAATTGTTACATTTTAATACAAGTATTTTTAATGGCAATTTGAATTCGCCGAAATGGTTAAACAACCGCTGCCCATAGACATCAGAAATAGCTGATGTGTTGTCTACCTTTAATGAAAGTGAATATTTCTCCTTCCTTTGCGTCCGTCATCCGTCAAATCCCCTTTCCCTTCACATCTATTTCTTATAAAAGTGGGAAGGGAAAGAGGACTAAAATTAGGCTTCCGTCTTATGAAGAGATGACCAGCGACTGAAACAAAGAATGATTAATTTTTCTACCTATTTTAGTGGTCAGCACTATAGGTATATCTAGATATGACCACAGGGTAAGCACAACAGGAATATAATAGGTACAGTGGAGGTGAGACAGGGAAATGATAGTAATCATAATATAAAAAATAATGATAGTAATAATAAATGGGGTCATCATAATGTTTTATAAAATTTAGACCATGTATGTTACATAAAAAAAAAAATTTGCGATTTTCATTTATTTATATTCACTTGTCATGCCACTAGCAATACATTTGGCAAGAAGCCAACGATGCAACAGATCCTTTACGACGAACATCTGGTCTGTTTCAATGAATAAAAAAGATGTCTCTTTGATTAACTTTTTTACGACTAGAATTTAGCATCCATCTATTTCGCATGCGGATGCATTACCGCGTACGAAGCGCGCCTTGCCGTCAGCCGCGACAAATTTCACGGCTTCTGATTTCAAATGACGTCGTAAGACGAGAACAGATTTTTCCTCAACGCAAAAGAAATTTCTAACCGAACGACTCCGTTAAAGCTCTCATACCCAGTGACAATTTTACAGTAAACGTATTCCGCAACAGTAAATTCAAATTTAAAAAATTCAATATTCATTTCTCCTTACATACTCATATATCGTTCCCCTGACCACTGCAGACGCAATGGAGTGTGCTCCGGCGATAAGTTGAGTTATTTTTATGAAATTATTTTTTCAAAGTCATAAAACCTCTTTAACAATAGGTATCGAAAGCAGACCGCAATAAATTTGCCGCGCCCTGTTCACCTCTCACCGGCCCTGCACTCGACTTTCATATAACTTTATGATGTATCGCGCCGCTTTGACCCTTCACACGTTTTTATCGTACTTTAGATAATGATTTAGAGTGACTATTTAATAAATTCACTATTATAATAAAATATTAAACTCACACGTATAATCCTACTGGCACATCACTATTCCCTTTTTACCATTTAAATGTTATAAGAAAGGAATTGGGCTTGCATTGATACAACTTAAAATATTAATTCTGTTTTTGTTTTTTTTTTAATATATTTTTATCATGTGTCCCAATAACATTCATTCAGCCATGTTAGCGAAATTGAATACAAATTATTGATCAAATCCCTCGTTTTAAATCTACGTCGTAGCAACGTATGATAGTTTCAATTTGGAAGTATATTACGTTTGCGGCGAAAGGGCCATTCAATAGTGTTGATACTGGCAGGACAGTGTTTTACACAGAGCAGCCTGTTAAAACAGAGATAGTGGAAGATTTTATACGACGGAAAGGGTTCGCTGTTATTGTTACTTAAATTACTCTGTGGATTTTTATATATGAAACGATACTTATAAAGAACATTGCGATACTATATAGAAATGCTTATTATTTAAAATGCACTTGTTTTTGCTTACAAATATTAGGTTTTACATATATTTTTGATTATGACACCGTAGCATAAACCTAGACCGTAAACTTAGAATAAAAAAAAAATTGAAAAGATCCATTTCCTTTACGTAGCCCAGCCTATTTCACTTTAAACGAAATTGTGAAGATAGTTTTTACTGACACATAAAATTCAAAACTCTTAAATATAATCTGTGGTTTGAGTAATGCGTTCACTCCCTACCGAGGGTTAGGGCACGTCAGTTTCAAAAATTGAGTGAAATCACATGTACAGAATCGATAGGGCGAATCACACTCACTGTGGACGCAACGAGCTGATAGAAAATCGAGCCGACAATTCATATTTGTTGCAACCGCCAATTTATAACAGCTCCGATACAAATGGGGCGCAGCTATTGGACGAACATTGAAGACAAACGATTGTACCAATTGGCCCCCATCATTTGACTTCTATTGTTTCTTCTTAACACAGCTGTGGCTGCAAGGATTCGTTTACAATAACATATCGGTTGTCAGATAAAAACTAATAAATGACCGAAGAGTTTAAAAACAGATATGTTTGAAAACAAAAGGCTTGTGACATGCCAAACTTTCAAAAACGATATGCCACATGGATTGTTTTCTATAACATTTTAAACCAACCTGAAATGTTGTAGACACTTAAGTTTGTTTATCATAAAAATCATAAATATTAAGGAATACATACTGTATCTTCTTCTCAGCCATGAGACGCCCACTGCTGGGCATAGGCCTCCCCCAAAGATCGTCACGATGATTGGTCTTGTGCCACCCGCATAATAAGCATACTGTATACTAAGCATTTAAAATTTATACTAAATTCGTATTTAAAAATAAAACCTTTCGAACATCTGCAAAAAATATCTAAATCGGTAAATAAATATTGGCAATCAAAAATGATTTGATTTAATATTCAAAGTAAACAGAGGCATCATCCGTTTGTTACCGATTACGAGATACAATAACAATAGAACGATTTGTATGGCAAGCAGATTTAAAACACATTGCATTTATCTTGTTCGAATAAAACGCGATAAGCCCCGCTTATTGATTGTTCCCATTTAAATTGAATACGTTCAATCCGTACCTCGTCACAACAATCAAATGAGCTGAAACAATAAAATATATGCCGGTGGAAGCTTATTATTTTTTGCAAATAGTTAAAAAAACGAATGTAAGAGAACTAGACTCTCTTACATTTTGATCACTTCACAAATTGGTCTATTTATACGTCTTACATATTTTGATTTTTATCCAGAAAATATATTCACTCATTGAACTGAACTGAAAAAACAATGCGTAACTGTTAAGGTACGCGTCCATTAACCCACGCCGGACGCATCGAACACACGGTCCGCAACGGGTAACTTGTTGTGTTGATAAATGCTGTCTTTTGATGCGGGCGGGGCGGATAATGGACGCAGCGCCATGTAAAAATCATTCAAAGCAAACTAAAATCCGTTGCGGGCCGTGCGTGCGGTACGTCCGACGTGGGCCAAGGGAAGCGTACCTTTACTGTGCGTTATGTGATTTTACCTCGTTAAAATATTATTAAATTAATTTTAAAATGCATATAATGATTTAAGTAAGTAAATATTTTCTCTCATATTTTTAATTATTTATTACTGAGTTAAGCACCGACGTGAACACTTAATTGAAGTTAACTTTTTAATATGAACGTATGTTACGACTCTTACGGTATGAAAGCAAGCAAGGCCGGTGTGTGGGGTGTCTTACAAGAATGTTGACGTCATTATCGTAATTATGGGGACGTCGACGCAAACGGCGCAGTTGAGTGCACTCTGCAAAATCACTTTATAAGCCATGCAGTACCGCATTCAGGCAACACGCCGATGCTATATAACCATTTTTGTGTGAGACTTTATGCCCCTCGTTAAACTTAATAGAAACTATATCTTACGTACTAAGAATTAAACACTTGTAATTTTCTCATATTTTTTTAATACTCATTTCATTTTAAAAAAGCTCTCGTTTTAATTTTATTTAATAAAATATATTAAAACTAAGACGGTGCACTTCTCAAGCGAAGTTAGAGAAGCTTAAACCAGTCTTAAGGTTAACGAAGTATTTCCTTAATACTTAATTAAAACACACGAGTATAATGCCCCTCTAGGCGATCCTAAGTCTGACTCTAAGTGATACAGGTACTACGCTTACTCTTATTTCATGTTTCACTTTACTTTAAATAAACTTAAAGGAATGAAAACTCTTTGGATTAACTATTCAATAAGGAAAAAAAAAAGCCAATTAGTTAACGGATTCGTTACCCATGTTCGAAAATTAAATTGAAATCGTATAAAAATAGACAACTATTTTTAGTTCCAAGGTGAATGGACTGGCCGAAATGGCGTGGCCACTTAAAAAATATGAAACATTAAAATGTCTAATTGTGAACTGAAGCATTTTTAAAAAGTTTGATCGCTTTTTAAAAATGTGACGATAAGTTTCGTATTCATTCGAGTACTTGTATAGCACTCGACTTAATTGTATTTTTTCAGTCCGCGCAAAATTAAAAAAAAAACTTAATTAGTAGATGTGTTCTTTCAGCCTATGTTCTACATGTATTCCAAATTTCAAGGAGATCCATGCAGCCGTTCAAGAGATACATTCTAACAAACATCCATCCGAACATTCGCATTTATAATATAAGTAAGATTGTTACGTTACTACTGTGGATCTGGTATATTGATTAACATGTGTACAATGAGAGGTTGTGTCGTAGTCGGGTCGCAGTGTTTACGGCCGCCTAAAACGACGTAATATTTCACGCGGCACCGCTGCCAGTACACAGGTGCTTTATCTACCCCATTCGGAATTAGGAGCCAATATTGTCTACGCTTTGTGTTACTAACATTTGTTTTGCAATTGTCACGACTGTACCTATGACAAAGGACTTAACAATTTATTTATTACATAAAATTGGACATTACTCAATCAAAACTGTATTACTAAAAATCAAGATGGTTGTGAGTTAATTTAATCTTATCGTACTAATATTATGCGGATGTTTTGATGGATGGATAGATGGATGCTTGTTTGAAAATATCTCCAAAACGACTGTATCGATCTCGCTGAATAGATGTAGAACAAAGTCTGGCAGAAAACATAGGCTGCTTTTTATTATTATTATTTTAATTCCGTGCGGACGGAGTCGCGGGCGAGATCTAGTAAATAAATTATTAATATTGAAAGCAATTTATATTAGAATCTTAACCAGAGAGTCTAGTAAGATATTTATGTATGCATAGCATAATTTAGGATGTTACAGTAAATTCAGATGAGCGAGCAGTCATTAGCTGATAGTGACATCGCTGCCAAACTTCTCCCGCGGCGCAATCTCGCAAATTCGACAATCCTTTGTGCGTTCAAAACTTATTCCCGCTCGATATTCAAAGAGCGGCGTAATAATATAACTTTAATATAATTACGACATCGCAATCACATGTGCCTTTGATAGTTCTAAATATTAAATACTAGCTGTTGCTCGCATGTTGTTATAAATAAATGTTGTCTATGTTACCCACGGATAGTGTAGCTTCCCGACAATAAAAGTTTTTTTCAAATCGGTTCAGTAGTTTTGGAGCTTATTCAACGCAAACAATCAAGTCTTTCTTCTTTATAATATTAGTATATACTGTTAAAGTTAGTATCAAAATAATGTTCTTTAATATACTAGTAGTGACATCTGTTAACAACTCTTTGACACACCTCATAATTGTCTATTTAAAATTTAATCTGTGAACAACCTCAAAGCATGTTTTAATATATACAATTATAATAAATCGGGACTAGCTTATCAAAATTTAAAATTTGTGGTGCGAAAAATTTGGAATGCTCTAGTCGAATAATTGGGTAAACAACTTTTTACTTCTCGAGTATAAGGCGACAAATTAAAGTGAAAAAGACAGACAGATTAAATTATCTATAAAATCATTTATAAGCAATTTAAAATATACATCCTTATTTCTATAATTACAAATAGTCTTAAATCTATGATATAAAATAAAGTATTAAAAAAAACGAATAATACACTAAAATATGTTATTAAAAGGAGTCCCTTTAGGCAAGGTCCCGAAGATACTGGCAACGTTCTATTAAATTATATTCTTACGCCATAAACGTATTATTTTTTTATTCCACTAGTTATAGCACATATATATTATGTTAACATTTGGATTACTGTACCAAAATGGTAAATTTAAATCTACATTCAGTCGTTGTGGAGACAAATCAATTGCAATCACACACATGTAAAAGAAATTCCATTTATATTTGTAAAGCACTACATCTGTACTGACTTCTCGTTTCATATTCTGTCACAATCTTCCAGTAAAATGGAATTTCAAGACGTACATTACAGTGTCTCAGAAGTTTCGCCCCACTCGAAAATGTATTCAAAATGTATTGGGAAGCCATTGCCGTGTGTCATGCTGTACGTACTCGTTCCTATCTTCAGGTGCCAACTATCGACACTGTTTTATTTTATATTACTACATTGGAAGTTTAAAAAGTCCCGTTTACATGTGCATTTTAAATTTCATGATGCGAATTTGCGGCCACAGTTTTCCGTCGTTTGCATACTTTTCAGTTCTGTTTATATTTTCCATTCAACTACCGCTATTATGAAATTCTTTTTTGGTTCACTCGCGATCGTCGTATACTTTTCAAGTTGCTTTAACGTTTGGATCTAAAATATGCTATTTTCTATTATGATAGTTTGTTTTTTGTTTAGTTTAGAATTTTCCAACATTCAGAAACACATCACTAAAAAACTATCGAGAAAAGAATGCCTATGGCAAATTAAAAAAAAACCTGAAGTACGTAGAAATATTGCTATAATCAAAATTTGAACATAATAACATTTCCTTGAACGTCGGCCAAAATATCTCAAACGTTCACGTTCTTTTTTATAACTTTCACAAAATAATCCAAAACATAATACGAAAGGACGAGAAAAAATTTGAAATTTAAAACGAACAAAGACTTAAATCCCGTACTGGAAGTTTTACTCAATGCTCAATCATTGCTCCGTCACTGGACCGACTGTGAAAAGCATCGCTGATGCTAATTTTATAAACAAACAATAGCAAGTGCCTAATGAAGGGTCCGCCGAGCAAACTTTCTTATTCTGAGAGGGAAAGGCCGGGAGCTCTTCCGTCCGATCCATTTGCTTGTTTATCCTGGACTTAGGAGCCGCCGCGGCCGCGCTAACGGAATAATGTTCCCCAGGAAATGAGAATGAACTGCGCTCCACAAAACTCTCTGTAAAGTTCTCGTAAATTATTTTAACAATACTTTTAGCGCGAACAACACGAACTTTTATGCTTCTCGCGCGGAAAATCTTTGGTATTATATACAAGTACATATTTGCCGTAGGAATTGATTGATTTTATTTTATTTATTTAGTATGCAAGATATAGTTTTAGAAGCCACGCAAAACTTACAACTTTTACATAACTTTAAAAGTAAAACGTCTAACCTGAATTATTTAAATTGTCAACCTCTTTTAATATTCCAGAAAAACATTGTTAAAATATTGTACCGTGACAAACGATACAACGACCACCCCAGGCCTAATGTGAATTTTAAAGAAAGTATGAAGAAAGGTCTCCTTACACGTGCCCGAGGCGGCCGGCGCACGTCCTCATGCCTAATTTAATCCTCGGCTTATTGAAATAAAAACGACATAGGTTTTCGACAGGTGCCGCGGGCGAGGACGTCGGGGAGTACGCGGGGCGCGGGCGCGGCGGGAGGGTCACAGGTGGCGCCGATGGTCGCAGCGTCGTTAAAATTTACATAAAGTCTCAATCCACGACGCCGAGCTCCCGCTGCCCGCCCCACGTTTATGCTACATTTAGTAATTTTATGATAATTTCGAAAACCTTACCGCCACCCATCGCATTATACTAATAGACCGCCTCTCGGTAGCGTCCGCGCCGCGGTGAAAATACTCCAACGCCTCGAAAATAATAAGTCCCGCTCTATAAATCGCAGGAAACGTGTAGCGGACAGTCTGAAACTGAGGCGCATAAATCTACACGTTAAGTGATGTTTTTTTTAGATGCGTTTTGATTAATAGCGCATAAAATTGAAGTGGTCGAGCGTAAATTTTTTAATATTTAACTTTTAACGACGGCTGCAAAGAGTAGGGGAGGAAGGGAGCAGTATAAGTGGGGGTCCGATCCAATTCCATGCAAATGGATACCTGGGCGATCGTTAAAAGAAGCGTTTATAGTTAACAACAGAGGCGGAATGTATCGAATGGAAAGCTATAAAAACAAACGTTGTATTGTTGCAGTCGAACTTGACACACCTGCCGCGACACGAGTACGTGCCGGGTATCGGCATGGGCATTGCTAAATGTCCCTACGACCCGGCGGATAACTCGACCGCGCTGTGGGTGGAGAGAGGCAACCCCGGTTCCTTGCCAGCGCTCTACTCCGGCACCAACGCTGAGTTCACCAAAGCGGATACTGTCATCTTCAGAACAGATCTACACAATTTGACAACTGGACGACGAGAGTTCTCCTATAAGCGAACACTGAAATATGACTCCAAATGGTTGGACAGTAAGTATACTGTATACTGTACATATATATAACATAACGTTACTGATTATTTTGTCTTATGTCTCAATTTATTTCATAATAGATTTTATCGTTTTATCGTCGTACGGTAATTATTAATTTGTACATAACCTACACTTTGTACTCTAGACTTTATGTTAATAATTAAATTTATCCATTATCAATAATGTTTATAAATCGATATTTATGTATTTGTGTACCATTCTGGTAACAAATCACTTTGTAGTCGTGAATCGTTCGCTAATTGTTCAGTTCAGGATGCCCGATGAATTCACAAATCAATGGAATCATTGAAAATTGGTACGTCACTAATCAGCAATCAGCGACCACGAGCGCCCGGGACGCGCTAATCATTATGACTATTGTTACAATTATCCGCTCTGACACGATTTAGAATTTGGAATTCGTCTGTTTGCGACTAAACAAGGAAATTAAACTGAACTCACTCTAACGAGCTATTATGTTCTCAATCTTTAACCAAGATTTAGTCAAACTTTTGACTGGAATAAAAGTATAAAAAACAAATAATTAGTAGCCTATGTCTTCTTCCATACCTACTTAGAGATTCCTTCTAACAAACATCCATCCGTCCATCCATCCAAACATTCGCATTTAGTAAATAAAATATTCATAAAGTTAAGTTAAGTTAATATTGAATACAGTTATTAAATAATATTCTTATTCATTTTAAACATTTATTGTCTTAATTTATTTATTAAAAATATTATGCAAATTTACAATTATTTGTCTATTACTTTGTTTATTTTGACTGTGTACAAGGTATATTTGAAAATTACGTTTCATTAATTTAATAATCTTTATCGACATCATGTTTATTGCATTCGGATTTGTAATGACACAATTTATATAGTATTGTTAAATGATTAACAATATGTTAAATGATTAACAATATGTTAAATTATTATTTAATTACAGTTTACGCAATGCAGTTCGACCATTAACGCGGATAACTATAATAATAAAATATTTGTCAATATCATTTTATTTACATGTTGAAGCGCTCAGATATTTATTCATAAAAAGGGAAGATTTTTTAAAGAAAAACTTAATTTTAATCCCATTTAGATTAATTGTAGGTATTGTATCTCTGTATATCAATAACGACTATGGCCTAATCACCCTTAACTTAGTGTAGGCTCCGAGCCCCTCGGTGGGGACGTACAGTAAGCTGATGATGATGATGATGATGATATCAATAACGATATAATTTCTTTTTTCGAGATAATAAATAAATATATCAATTAACCAATATGCAGAGAATCTATCAAAATAAGTATCGGATCAGTCAATAAACATTCGGGCGTGGAATATTCATCAACGTATAAACCCGATTTATCGCTCCAATTAATTATGATGGAGCTAAATAATTTATGACTCCAATAATTTAAAGGCCGGTCTTATTAATATTAAAACGACTTGCAATTTTATTAAAACTAGTAGTATAGTTTGGAAAGAGAATTGTGATGAACAAAGATATTGCTATGACCGTGTGCCAGTAATCCTAAACACGTGGCTTGTTCATTATGTGACCGACAAATAAGTAAGTATTAATGTGAGCTATAAATACCCTCTATGAAGTGACGTACACGGCTTCATCTAATATTTATTGCACATCGCATAAAATAATAGCAATTTGATATTGTACTATCCACGTGGGAAAGGGGGCACAATTCAAAATCTTTTGCTATAGCATTAAAAAACATCAAACAGAAGTGGTCTTAACATTAATACATAATAGGCTACAACTATTAAGAAATCCAAATAGAACTTTTTCCGTTAAGGTTTTTATAATTATAAGAAAAATATTCGTGAATACTGGCCATAATAGGTATAAACTTTTTAGTCCCTTTGGACGACTAATTTAACGGTTAATTTGAAATATTTTTTTCTAGAACCGAACTTCGTTGGTTCATTCGACGTTGGCGAGTACGTGTTATTCTTCTTCCGTGAAACTGCAGTAGAATACATTAACTGCGGGAAAGCAGTGTATTCCCGAGTCGCCCGCGTCTGCAAGCGTGACACTGGCGGCAAGAACATACTCAACCAGAACTGGGCGACATATCTCAAGGCGAGGTTGAATTGCAGCATACCGGGAGAGTTCCCTTTCTACTTCAATGAGATACGTAAGTATATATTTACTCAAAGTAACCGTGGGCTTACACTGCAAAAACACAGTTACAATCGCTGTTTAAAAAAAATAGAGATACTTTATGTACAAGTTTCTTAGCAGAAAATAATTGTTAAGTTTCTTTAATGCATTTAACAATTTTTTATTTAAAATTGTCTTCTCCAACTTACACTTAATAAATAATACATTACTTTATAAATTGAATTCCACATGTAATTTATATTTTGGTCTCATCTCAAATAAGATCTGTCGTCAATCCCAACAAACAATTTTATTGCATCGTATTAAAATTTATTTGCGTAATTGATTTCTTTCGCTCTTCGCGATGTGCAAAAGGCAGCTTTCGTTTAATATTAGCGGAGCGATAAGCTAGGGGCATAGCATTCTTGAAATTACTCGTAGATAGCGCTATACTCATTTCTGATTCACGATGTTGGGAACATGCGCGTATTTTGAATAGCTCATTGTCATTAGCCTATATTTATTAATCATCGACCATCGTATATGAATTAAAAAGTGATGCTTTAAAAGTAGCGTTTCTGAAAATTTAATCCTTTACCGTTTATGTTCCGTTATTCTTTTTTTCTTTTAACCTATAATCGAATAATCAATGGAGATAAAAACAAAGGAAGATACCTTAATATGTAAGTTACAAACTAGTTAAATCTTCATACGCTACGTGTTATGAACTCAAAAGCAAATGTAATATTAACCCCACAAGCCGTGACAATGTTCACCAAGCGTTTAGATTGACAATTATAATTGCTGAAACTAGTTGAATTGTGGCGGCAACTTTTGGTGACATCGAGATATAAAGTTCGTGTCACACAATTACGACAATTTGACTCAACTCTCATAACTTTGGACAAGCAAGAACAAATTAGACTTCGTGACGGCACTTGATAATTTTCCGGCTCAGTTTTTGGTGCCGTTTAATATGCAAATTGTATTTAACTTGTTACCTCTGTAGAATTGTAAAAAATTTAAGTCAGTCATCTTTATAAACATTTTCGTGGTCGTTACAAAAAAAGAATATTATAATTTAATTTTTGTCATTCCCAAGAGAGAAGTAATTTATAAATTATCTTTTTCCATCAAAAAACGAAACGGCCTGTTCTACGAATAATTATAAACAGAATTTATATATTTTCAATGGAATTTATTTTTCGTAAGAAATTATTAAACAGCAAATTTATTAAAAAAAACTATTTTAAACTTCAAATTCTCTCGTTCAAAGTGTAAATATTTTACGTACGTACAAAGAATCTGTCAAGAAATTTCCACGTATTTTAATTTTTATAGATCTTTAAATTATTTGCATTTAAAGCGCTTTATATAGATCGTATCGGTTTTCTACGGCATAGCTATTCATCAGGCATGTTGTCTAGCTCATAACAACAGGCAACTAAATATGTCTCTTTGTCAAACAGAGAGTATCTACAAAGTTCCTGGAGATGATAGCCGCTTTTATGGAGTATTTACAACTGCATCCACTGGCTTGATGGGCTCTGCGATATGTACATTCACTATTGGTGACATCCAGAAAGCTTTCGAGGGGAAGTTTAAAGAACAGGCCACATCCAGCTCTGCGTGGTTGCCTGTCATCAGCAGCAGGGTGCCGGAACCGAGACCTGGAACTTGTGTCAATGATACGTCATCATTACCCGACACAGTACTTAATTTTATCAGGTGAGTTTGAAGATAGAGCGTAAAAATAAATTTAAAAATCCAAGCATGATCCAATGTAGAAGTATGGTACACCAATTCAATCATTTATATTACTACGAAAATTTTCGCTTGTAATACCCTTTATAATTCTATCATCAAGTACAAAAAAAAACTCATAAATACTGTAGCTGTGATCTGTACATAATAAATTTAATCACTTAAGTGACATCAAAATCCTATAGGATCATTCGTTGGTCGTGATATCGTCACAAGTGGGTAGAGCGAAAACAGAGTGACAATCGTCGTTTAAACATCACTCCCGGTCTCCAGCGACTCCGGGCCGCCGCGCATTGAAATCCACAGGCACTTTTATCTGGCGACACGTCCTGTTAATTATCCGACGCTCTCGCCCCTAGAGTGTTCAATTATTTTTTTCTACACCCTCTTTTTCACGATCCTCGTGTGGAAATGTTTGAGATTTTAACACTTAACCTGCAACACCATGTCTGAAAATAGTTACATGAGTTTTTTTTACATTTGCGAATATTTGAGTTTTAATTAAACGAAGGATGATTTTTGTTGTTCGCACCGATACGAATTTTTTTAAGCTACGAAGCGTAGCGCGGCGTAGACATTTCGTAGCAACGATGTTATTCATAATATCATTCAAGAATTTTTTTCTTCTTGTCATCTGACGAAAGAATTCTTAAGAAATTCGTAGCAATTTTACTATTATTATTCCTAATACAATTTAAAATTAAAATAAAAGTTGTTCATTAGTATGATAACTATGTAAATTGGCCTTTTCTTTTTTCATATCTCATGTTTCTTTGTGTCAGATCACATCCACTAATGGACAGTGCAGTGTCACACGAGAATGAGAAGCCGATCTACTACAAGCGAGACTTATTCTTCACAAGACTAGTTGTTGACAAAGTGAGGGTTGACATGCTGGGACACCAGCTCGAATACACCGTGTATTACGCCGGCACAAGTAAGTACTTGCATGTATTGAATAATTTTGAATATTGAGATATTTTGAAATTTGACGTGTTAATCTTAGGAAATACCAATCGTATTATAATTTTTATCCCACTGTTTATACTGACTCCACATAGAGTAGGACGAAAATGCGTACATGCACTTGCGTATTTTAGTTAAATTTTAAAAAAGATCGCAAGAGATTTTAAATCATATTATATAATCACTGCTATTTCAAAATGAATAGAACATAAAACAAAGAAAGATTTATGTTCTAGTGCCTATATTTATTAGTATTTATGTCAGTCTCTATAGAACAGACTCTCCCCATAATCCCATGGGCATCGTGAAAGCTGACGGTAATGTATGCGATGAGCTCGCAACCTGCCACTGTTTATCACTATTTATACACACATACTGTATCTATATCACCCTTTTGTGAGATGCATTAGTGGTATGTGTTAGCCACTTTAAATCTGCTATAAATCTGATAAGATACGTATATGTGTAGTCTCATATAGATAGAGGTTGGGAAATAAGTTATAAATTATGTCACATAATATATGTACCGTAGAAAATAAACACAAATCTGTACGATTCACAATTTATGTTCAAAACCCGAAAAACAAAGTTAATATTGTTTCACACAATACCTACGAGAAAGGTTACGTTTGAAATCATATCGAACAATAACCAACGACAAACACTGTAGTGGGACTTCAAAGTTACAAAAAACGAAGAATTAAAAATGCCAGCGCACTAGGAGATTAAAAAATTGCGCGTGAAAGTGCCACAATGCCCATAACTCGTGCGGTGACGGCCGTGTGGAAAGGCCCTCTGGATACCGAATGCCAATGCAGTGCCCGGAGGGTTGGGGATTATGCACATTCGACTGCGAAACATCGGATTTAGAGTTTAAAACACGAAAAATCTATTACACCGTTCGTTGTTTGTATCCAAATAGCGAACAAAACACTTACAATTTTTAACGCTTTTTGTCAACTCACAATTTATTAACTTTTAAAAGCTTGCACTCAAGCTTTTAAGCCGCGCGCTGTATTTCTAGCAGACGAACTATTTTCCAGTTTTAATGGGCCAACGAAACTCTTTTCATAGTTTTTTATAAAGTGCTTTTGTTTATCTTCACAACACAAGAATATATTATAGTAATCTGCTATCGCCTTTCCTTCAATAATATTAGGGTTCTATGAATTTATGAATATCATGTCCAAAGATAATTACCATAACTGCTTTCCAGACGATTAGGCAGCCGTAGTTTAATCGCTCACAAACCAAAACTATTAAATTTCCTTCAGAACTTCCGCGTATAGATTACGTCGAAGTAATGTGCATACATTTATGCACATCGTAAAAATAATTGTGATTACTTGGATGTGGCAGGACACCGCAGCGCCCGGTAGCGCGTGAGTACAACCACACTTGCCTCACGTCACATTTCTATCTCGGCATAAATTCGGTCCGCCGCACCGCATCGCACCGCGCCGCACTAAACAACGCCTCGGAGTGCTAATTTTCGCCCATGTTGTTCCAATTTTCACCAATTTCCCTCGGAAATCGCCCTCAACTCCGTACCCCGTAAGAACCCGTACGGAATGGATTAAACTCACGTAGATATCTAACGAAGGGGGAGTTCGTTTACTGAACAACTTTTACGAAAGGAGAGCTCCGGTTCGAGTTGGCGTTTGAAATGCTCGTGCGGAATATTAAATTGTTTAAGCGTTACCTTTGACGTTCCCTCATGTGCTTTAGCCACGTACCGTGATAATTACTCTAAGTTAATCTGCATAATGTAACTTTGGCTCTGTTTTCAATAGCGACGTAAAGTCTTTCGTCGAGCATTATCACATTGTAGCAACAGGAACGTTTCATTACAGAACTTCAACGAGCAATAAAATGTTTAAATTTAGCTAATTTTAGCGACAGTCGCACTTTGTAAACGGTCACATACATTTAGACCGCAGCAAAGAGCATAAAGAGGAGCGAAATCCGCATTCCCGAAAATACGTTGCACTCTTAGTTCGCTATTATTTACACTGGGACGTGAAATAAGTTGTGCGAAATACCACTCGAGGCGAGTTGAAAAAGGACAGTTTACTCTTTCAATAAAGAGTTCTCTGGTAGTTTGGCGTCGGCGGCAATATTGCTTCCTCGACCGGGCCATTCGGAATGCTCAGTGCGTTATAATATGCATTAAACGGCACCGTCCCAGCGGAAGCCTGTAGCGGCGCTCGAGGTGGCGGCAGACAATGAGAAACGAGCGTATGATGTACCCGCAATGCGGGTCCTGTCTTCCTCCATTCCATTTGTTTTATCACGCCTAAATCACTGTTGCCAGACAACTTTTGTGCGCTCCCCAGACTTTGATAAAAGTTTGACATCGCTCATGTACACACGCGCTCACTCCGTTTGTCAATGGAAGGGAACCGAGCTATCAAAGACGTTAAGAGTATTTAGAAGTTAACGAAGTTAATTAAATTCCGCGAGTTAGACGTCAACGCCGAGACTCTTTAGTATCAAGGGCGCCTTTGTTAACAAACAAACACAATATTAATGTTAACGTATCTCTCAAACACAGTACCATGTTAACAAGAGACTATAAACTTAATTACTTCGCGTCTGTTTTATAAAATAGGCGCTCATGGGGTAGTCAGTTTAAATTAAATAGATAATAACTGCCTGACGATGATGTCAAAGATCTTTCCTATTTAAAAATGTAGTACTTACATACTCTCTAGAAATTAAATCCATAATTAAGTGAACTTTTAGTTATTCAATTAGTTTTGTCATCAACATAAATAAAAGTAAATATATAGGGGCTTTATACTATAATAATTTATGTCTGAATGTTTCAATTCCAATTTCGATAAATTTAAAGAAATTTAATAGTTCCTTCACTGCATACATTTTTCATTTCCATTTCTGTCTAGAAAGAAAGGATATTAAATTATCATTTGCTTGGATAAAGAATAAAACAAGGAATATATGGGAAATTAAATCGTAGGCTGTAGCCGACGGGACGGGCTTTGACGCCAAATGCTTTGAAAGCTTCTATTAAAAATGATTTAAAATTCACAGTCAGCTTAATGGTGGAGTCCGACAACTGATATCATTTGGTGACCTCATCGCAACCAAAGTCGTGTACGCTCTTTGACGAATGCAATTCAATTATGCTCGTTTTAATAACTCCAATAAGCTTAGATTATTAGTTTAACTCTTTTATACGAAGCTTTAACGTTAAAGTCTCATATTTATTTCGTATTAAAAATGTTATTCTTTTACTATGATTGGTATTCAATATACTTTGCCCAGTGTTTGGTAGACAAAACGTATTTTTTTAACAAATAATTTTAGCGCTTAACAATAACCAAATAAATAGTAGTTGTAATTACTGTCTTCCGTTACATTTAAACAACTCATCTATTGAATTTAAAAAAATGTTTAAATCGATTAAATCATCAAATCTTATAACAAAACGAGTCCAATCCACAGTATCTCTTTGCTGAGACATGTTACTATAAGATATGAAATAACTAAGGTTAGTTATCAACTACAAAGCTAATATATGACAGATTATAATATTATATGATAGATTGCTTGAGTCATGAGATTCCGCAGCTGGTGATTTTGTAATTTTATTTTTATTTTATATATGAAATGTTTTGTATTAAGTATATGATAAATAAATAAATAAAGGAATAATATGACCAGATATACCATGATTAGGAGTCCTTTTTAGCACGATTAGCTGTTTACAATAAAGAAAATCCCGTCTGTTGCCACCAGACTATAAAAATTTACTTCCCTTATGTGGCCGCTGCTATACGATATGTACAACAGCCAATCTCCAAGCTGATTGAGACTTTAATGCATAAGTAGTCAGTAAACTGAAGTTGCAACCATGGCAACTAAATCGACATCACATATCATTTTGTTAGACCGCATTTCATGTTTATGGAGAAACTTGGACTTCATGCACTTAAGCAAATGGGTTTCCGATACTTATAAGAGTATTCGCAGCGGATCGCTAAGGTTTATGCATGCTAAGTTATTTTGAGGATTATTATTCACTTCGCTACGGATGTTCGTGTTGCAGATTACTTCGTAAATGTATAAAGCTTATTGTTGTTTGTGTATCAGTTAATGATTATTTTGGCTTCTAGAAATGTTAATGGGCCTATTATACTACATTACTCAACCAATTTTTACTCAAAAATTTTAAACCAACAAATTAAAAATTTCTAATTAAATAATAAAATAGAACATTATATCAGAAAGAAATGATTACGGCGCTTGTAATATTACTTGAAGTATTGTTCGATAAGAAGACAAGATGCAGTAATTAGTACCCTTGATAATTAAGCTTTTATCTGGTTAATTATGTTGGCATTTAAATTTACTTGTCTAAAAACAGCATTGGACATTGCGATGTGATTTGTCATAACAGATTCCCTTAACAACCAGGATATTGAATAAATTACATAGCCTAAAACCTTCAATTCCATTGAAAGGTCCTAATATATGTATATTTATACAGAGGGATCGAACGAAGTGTTACTAAATCAGAATCAATTCAATTTCATCAGACATTGAGTGACAGCTATTGCTGAGCAACAAAGCAATTAGCAATCGTCTTAATTAGCATTCAAATCGCGTCCGACGTGAATAAACATTGATTTTTTTGCAGGGGAATACTAATGCGTTCACTTTCGAACGCTTATCGCACCCGCTAACAGCACCAACGTTTTTTGCATAAAACATCTCATCAAAGGATTGCTAAGGTGCCACAGTATATTGAATATCAAAAGGTGCACGGTCGAGAAAGTTTCAGGGGAGGCGGAAGCACAGCGGCATCCCTAATGTCGGCCACCGTCAATTCCTCCTTTAAAGTACACCTATGGAACGTGTCCGGAATAAGTAAAGCAAATTTTTCTATAGAGTTTTTGATACTGATTCAATTTTTATGGAATTTATTTTTAAAATATTATATTTGGG